GCAAAATGAAAGGGAGTTGCTGGTATTGTGAGAAGGAAGGGCACCCCTGGTTTTTGTGCTATAAGAAACCCGATGGATGGACCCCCCAGAATCGTCACCAGGATGGCGGCGCGCGGAGGAACCAGAAAAACGGCGCCAACATGGTCGCTGATTCGTCCGACAACAACCCGAAGGGCAACGGCGGTGCGGAGAAGAAGAAGGAGCGCACCGCGGGCCAATTCTTCCATGTGGGAGACAAGGGGGAGCAAGGAGACGCCTCTGCCAAAGTTGGAGCAGAGCTGCACCCCCTAGACTATTGGGTGTTGGACACAGGCGCTGCTTGGACGATGACGCCGCGCAAGGACCTGCTGGACGAAGTACGAGCTGCACCGATCAATGAAGTGTGCTCCGCCTCTGGACACATGTTGAAGGTGGCTGGTGCGGGACGAGCTGCGTTTAAGGGAGCGGATGGCAAGCCGGTGGTGCTGCACGACGTTCTCTTCGTCCCCGACCTGAAGGCCAACCTTATCTCCCTCCGTAAGCTTGGCAAGGCTGGGGTGAACACCAACACGGATGGGGCACGCACTTATAAGGGGAAGCTGGGCAATCGGGTGCTTTGGGATCTGCACGAGAGCAAGGACGTGTACAGATCTATGTGGCAGCTGCCGGCCCTGGCGTGGCATGGTGGGGGGCAGGCTGGAGAGGGGTCTGCATCCCAGGGGGAGTGCAATGCCGTTGGAGGGGTTGGTGTGAAAGTGTCGGCCAGATCTGGGGAGACAGATTGGGCAACGGCACACCGGCGCTTAGGGCATGTGGCAATGCCTTTGCTGAAGCAGCTGGAGAAGGATGGAGCCGTTAAGGGTCTGAAGCTGAACGGACAGCCACCCGATGACAACTGTGAAATCTGTTTGCTTTCAAAGTTCACCCGTTTCCCTTTCCATAGTGTGGCTGGCAGGAGCAAGAAGCCTTTGGAGCTGGTCCACATGGACTTGGTGGGGCCGCTGCCGGTGCAAGGGCACAAGGGGGAGCGGTATTTTCTTACAATTGTGGATGACTGGAGCAGGCTGATGTGGGCGTATCCGCTGAAGCAGAAGGACCACGCCGCCTCCACGATACGGGACGATTGGCTGCCATTCGTGGAGAAGCAGGCGGAGTGTGTAGTGAAGCGGATTAGGACAGACCGGGGTGGTGAGTTCCTTGGAGCTGAAATGACGGCCTGGCTCAAGAAGCAGGGCATCCAGAGAGAGCTGACCACGGCTTATACCCCACAGTCCAATGGTGTAGCAGAACGGGCAAACCGGACCATTCTGGAGACAGCTAGGGCGCTGCTCATAGAATCTGGGCTGAGCAATTCTATGTGGCCTCATGCTGTCCGGCACGCCACTGTCGCTAGGAACAGGGTGCTCACCAAGGTTGGGGATGACTCGTGGGTGCCGTTGGAGAGGTGGCTTGGGAGGAAGCCGCCGGTGGACATGCTGAGGGTGTTCGGTTGCATGGCAGTCGCCCACGTCCCCAAGACCTACCGCAGTAAGTTGGGGGCGAGTGCAATCTGGTGTGTGCATTTGGGGCTGGCTGCTGAGAGCAAGGGATGGCTGCTGTGGGAACCATCCAAGGGTGTGTTGTTTGACAGCAGGGATGTGAAATTCATTGAGGCCATGATGTATGGGAGCTGGGAGAAACAGCCGGAGGCAAGGGTGTCCCAGCAGATGGAGCAGATCACCATGCAGCTGGACCTGACTCCTAGTGTGTGGGAGGAGGGAGAGGAGGCAGCTGCTGGAAATGGTGATGGAGAGAAGGTACAGGAGGCATCTGCTGGTGGAGAAAATGGTGTGGAAACTGGCGGCAGCACTAGTGGAGCTGCTGGACCCGAGGGAGGAGAGAAGCAGCAGGGAAAAACTAAGAAGCCGAAGGGTGTCGTTATGAAGGGATGGGAGACACCCGTCTCCAGGCCAGGACGTACCCGTATGGCTACTAAGAAGCTGACTGCAGGAACTGATGCAGCAGAGCAGCAGCTAGGGACCGAAGAGGCATTGCTGATTCTACCTCATGGCTATGACCCGGATGAGGAGGATGAGCCTGCGTACTGTTTTCTTGCCCCTGCACCAGAGGAACCAGCTAGCATGGAGGAGGCATTAGCTGGACCAGATAGGGACAAGTGGCTGGCTTCTAGGGATGCTGAGTACCAGAGTCTGCTGGAGAATAGGACATGGGATCTGGTGGTGCTGCCTGATAGGAAGAAAGCGATACAATGCAAGTGGGTGCTGAGGATCAAGACCGATGACAAGGGGCAGGTCACCATCTACAAGAGTAGGCTGGTGGCGAAGGGGTTTATGCAGAAGGAGAAGCAGGACTTCAACGAGATCTTTGCTCCCACTGCCAAACCCCCTACCCTCCGTGTCTTGTTGGCAGATGCAGCTGTTAGTGGGAAATTCATCATTCAGATGGATATTTCAACGGCATTCCTGAATGGGATTTTAGAGGAGGATGTGTACATGACGCAGCCGCCTGGGTATGAGGATGGTACGGGCAGGGTGTGCAAGCTCAACAAGTCCATCTACGGCTTGAAGCAGGCGCCACGCTGCTGGTACCAGAAGTTGGCAGCTGTTTTAGAGATGGGATTCAGGACCAGCAGCTGTGATGAGAGCCTCTTTCTCAAGGGCGAGGGGGAGAAGCTGGTGCTGTTTCTGGTCTATGTGGACGACATTCTTCTCTTCAGCAGCAGCATGAAGGAGATCCAGAAAGTGCAGCAGCAACTGATGGAAAACTTCAAGTGCAAGAACCTTGGGGAGGTAAAGTACTACCTCGGGATGCACGTGGAGAGGGATCCAGATCACAGGTGGTTGAAGCTGCACCAGGAGAAGTTCATCAAGGAGCTGGGGGAGAAGTATGGGATTGAGAATGAGCGCAAGGTTGCAACTCCCCTGCCAGCAGAATTCAAGCTTGTGAAGGCTGCAGAGGATGAAGGGGTTGAAGCTGAAGAGCAGCAGCAATTTCAGTCCTTGGTGGGCAGCCTCTTGTACGCAGCAGTTCACACGAGGCCCGACATCTCTTTCTCGGTTGGGCAGCTGGCTAGGGTGGTGCAGAATCCATCAGAGGAGCAGGTGGATGCAGCTGAGCGTGTGGTGAAGTACCTGAACTCTCACCCAAGCATTGGAGTTCAATACTCCGCATCTGCACAGGTGAAGCAGAAAGGGGTGGAGGTGCTGAAAGAGAAGGGGGAGAGGCTTGGAGAAGGCAAGCTATTTCTCACTTGCTTTACCGATGCTACGTGGGCTTCTGAGAAGGAGGATTCCTCATCTGTGGGAGGATACATCTGCGTAGTTGGGGGAGGACCTGTTAGTTGGAGGTCCAAGAAGCAGACGGAGACGGCACTCTCTTCCGTAGAATCAGAGTACATGGCGATGTTCCATGGGGTGAAGGAGGTGATTTGGCTGAGGAGGCTGTTAGAGGAGATTGGCCAGGAGCAGAAAGTTGCTACGCCGCTGTTTTGTGATAGCAAAGGGGCTCTTGGGATGGCCAGAAACGCTGTGCTTCATGGGCTGAACAAGCACATGCGTATCAAGTGGCACTGGCTGCGTAAGGAGGTGAAGAGGGGGACGGTGCATCCGATCTACATCAAGACTCACCAGCAGCCAGCAGACTTTCTCACCAAGAGGCTTGCGGATGAGCCTCATTGGCGTTGTGTGCGCATGAGTGGAATGAGCATGAACTAGCATGGAATGACGGGGATGCAGCCGGCAGGCTGAGGGGGAGTGTGTTGGGTGCAAATGCACATTGCACGACATCCTGCCATCTGTTTGTACGAGTATGCGTGTGCGAATGCATTTGCGTGTGAATGGTGTGTTCGTGTGTTTGTTTGCTTTCGCATTTTTCGCTTGATGCATTTGCAGGTACTCGCGCAATGTGCGCTTTGGCACAACATTGTATGCGCTATGAACAGTGCAAGCAGGAAGGACGAGCTCGCAAAGGAACCCAAGATGGAAGCTTTGCAGTTCGGTTGAGTTGATTGCGCAGATTCAGTTCTATCCAACTCGGAATTGTACTGTTTTGTTTGGTTAACTATAGTGTAGCAGGGAAGGCACTATAGGGGTACAATTTAGGTGAAGGTTGGATGTTGTTTGTCTGTATCTGCATGCTACAAGGCCAGGGGAAACCAGCGGAACCAGCATTTGGCTGGTTGGGCAAAGACAAAACAGGTTCTGTTTTTAGAACCTGAACCTGGTTGTTGTTTTCCCAGGTTGGAAAAACAGAACCAGAGGTTGTTTACCAACCTACCACCTGCTATTTTGTCCAGCCAGGTTGGTTCTGTTGCTTGGAATTATTTGGGATCATCCCTGGTTGTTCCCAGGTTGATTCCCAAGGTCCTTGCTAGCTAGAACTATTTAATCCTTCTCTGTTTGTACCTGAGCATAGTCAAATTGATTCAAGCGAATTCCTTCCTCGCTGGAATTTCGTTTCTGCGCTATTCGACGGCGGAATGCTACCCGAGTCAACGCTAGTATGCTAGCACTCCAACGCTAGGCAAACGCTGTCCGAGCCATAACTTCGTAATGGCAGAACTTTTCGCGAGGCAACTTGGCTCATTTTAAAGCTCTTGGAGCGAGCTTCGATATAGCGAATTCTCAGCTTAATCCGATCGACGGTCTGCACGGCACGCTGCGCGACGTTCAAGGTACTCTTGCTGTTTTGACTAAGTCCTTCTTGATCCCTCTCTCTACAAACTCGGACCCGAGGATAGGGGCTGGTCTTGTACCAGGCACCCAGGGACCCTTGGAGGTGACCCCGAGGAGAGGTTTTAAGTTTGATTAAGTCCTAATAGCTTGAGTTTATTAGGCCCTTACACCAACAACGAGCACATGGAGGACAAAGAGTGGTTCAGTCATGTGGGGGACAACAGGCGGATGTGACAGTGACAAAACGGGAGAGAAAACAGCCGGAGCCGAGTCCGTGTTGGACTGTACGCGGTAGGAGACTGTAAGCGGCAGAAGGAGGAGAGGGAATACCCAGGGCCCGAAGGCCACTTACAGGTGGGAATAACTGCTGCAAGAGAGGCGGCTGCTACTGCCGCTGCCGCTGGTGCTGCTGCTCTGCCGGAGCCAGCTGCTGCCGCTGCTGCTGCTGCTGCTGCTGCCGCTGCTTCTGCTGCTGCTGCTGCTGCTGCTCGTGCTGCTGCTGCTGCTCCTGCTGCTGTTGCTACAACTCCTGTTGCTGTTGCTACAACTCTTGCTGCTATTGCTACAGCTCCTGCTGCTTCTGCTGGTCAAGCTGCTGGAGCTCCTGCCTCTCCTACTCCAACCGCTCCTGCTCCTCGTGCTCAAGTCGACGAAGAGCCTCCAGCTCTAGTTGCCTCAAACTAGAACCTCCAGTGCGAGCACCACCTGCTCTACCACCTCCAAAACCACGACCTCTACGGTCAGGAACTATTGCTCCAGCTCCCCAGCACCTCCAGCTCCAACACCCCCCGAAGTAGCTGTTGATTGTGTAGGTGGTTGTAGTATTTTGCTCTAGCTGGTTGTGGGCTAAGGGTTTGGGCAAAATGTGGTGGTTAGACTTGTTGCGGGCTGGAATTGATCTCGCACCCAACAAGCACCAACAAACCTTTGCTATTCACTACAACACCTTTGGTGTTGCTAGTTTGGCATTTTGGGTTGTTGGGGATTGTTGTAGGGCGAGGGTTGGGTTGGTAGGGTTTGACAAACTCGTCACTTTTGGTTGTTGGGAGACACGAGACAAGACGCTGACTAGCCATGCTGCGGAGGCGGGGGAGTGACGGGTGTCCAAGACAGTGGTGCCATAGGACTGTCAGGTGGGCAAGGGACCGACAGGAGCAAGACGCAGCAACCTGACCTCAGGCAGCTACCTGACTGGGCGCAGTAACCTGACCAGACGCAACCACCTGGGGGGGCGGAATGTGCGGGACGAAGAGACCTGAGTAAGGCTCTTTGGTGAACGTGGCAAGAACTGCTCCGGTGAAAGCATCTGTACAGATCGCAGTCCTCCTGTGCGCAGGAAAAGTGACTGTGATCATACGGTCCTGAACGTATCCAGCACCCACCATGTTTCGAGAGAACGAAGGGATGTAGAGACCAGTGAGGGAACTAGAGGGGACAGCCGGGCACGGGAGGGTGGTAGAACTGCGAGCGACTGCTGTTCCTGAAGTAGGATCCACCAGGCCAACTGAGACCAGAGCAGCAAGAGGTGTGACAGTGGTGTGGTTGCGGAAGAAGCACTGGGACGTGCCAGAGTTCATTGTGAAGGACAGTGACACGTCAGTAATCGTCACATCTGCACTAGTAACTACACAAGCACCTACACTAGAAGCACAAGCACCTACACCAGTGACACGCAAAGGTCCTAAGCTGGGTACACGCAAGGGCAGAGATCCATATGTGATAGAATAAACTGCATCCATAGACATATCAAGAGAAACCGGGCCAGATCGGTGGAGCTGAGTCAGGGGTAAAACGCTCGCAGTTCAGGTCGTCGAGGCGGCTGTGGCAGCGCAGTGCAGAGTGGTCAGGACACCAGCAAGTAGTGCCAGCATGAGGGCCGGTCAGGATCCGGTACCGGCAGGGTCCAATGTTGTGGCCATCGCGACAAGCCCCCCAGCTGGCTGGGCCGCTGCTACACCCAACGCTACCTGAACCACCAGGTCCCCACTACAGCTAAGGGCGCCACTGCTGCTGAGGGCGCCACTGCTGAAACTGTCGCTGCAGCTGTCACTGGTGCTATAGAACTCTAGTTTACGCCATGGTAAAGACTAGCTGGGCGTTGGAGCGGCAGAACGAGGAAACACTAGGCTAGGAACTACCGGCACTAGGAGCAGCTGGAGCCGGGAGTGGCTGGAGCTAGAAACGGCTAGAGCAAGACACGCTGGAGCAAAGCACAGCTGGAGCAAGGCACGTCTGGAGCAAGGTAAAGCTGGAGCAAGGCACGGCTAGAGCAAGGTGTTGGTGTAAGGGCCTAATAAACTCAAGCTATTAGGACTTAATCAAACTTAAAACCTCTCCTCGGGGTCACCTCCAAGGGTCCCTGGGTGCCTGGTACAAGACCAGCCCCTATCCTCGGGTCCGAGTTTGTAGAGAGAGGAATCAAGAAGGACTTAGTCAAAACAGCAAGAGTACCTTGAACGTCGCGCAGCGTGCCGTGCAGACCGTCGGTCGGATTAAGCTGAGAATTCGCTATATCGAAGCTCGCTCCAAGAGCTTTAAAATGAGCCAAGTTGCCTCGCGAAAAGTTCTGCCATTACTAAGTTATGGCTCGGACAGCGTTTGCCTAGCGTTGGAGTGCTAGCATACTAGCGTTGACTCGGGTAGCATTCCGCCGTCGAATAGCGCAGAAATGAAATTCCAGCGAGGAAGGAATTCGCTTGAATCAATTTGACTATATTCAGGTACAAACAGAGAAGGATTAAATAGTTCTAGCTAGCAATGACCTTGGGAATCAACCTGGGAACAACCAGGGATGATCCCAAATAATTCCAAGCAACAGAACCAACCTGGCTGGACAAAATAGCAGGTGGTAGGTTGGTAAACAACCTCTGGTTCTGTTTTTCCAACCTGGGAAAACAACAACCAGGTTCAGGTTCTAAAAACAGAACCTGTTTTGTCTTTGCCCAACCAGCCAAATGCTGGTTCCGCTGGTTTCCCCTGGCCTTGTAGCATGCAGATACAGACAAACAACATCCAACCTTCACCTAAATTGTACCCCTATAGTGCCCTCCCTGCTACACTATAGTTAATCAAACAAAACAGTACAATTCCGAGTTGGATAGAACTGAATCTGCGCAATCAACTCAACCGAACTGCAAAGCTTCCATCTTGGGTTCCTTTGCGAGCTCGTCCTTCCTGCTTGCACTGTTCATAGCGCATACAATGTTGTGCCAAAGCGCACATTGCGCGAGTACCTGCAAATGCATCAAGCGAAAAATGCGAAAGCAAACAAACACACGAACACACCATTCACACGCAAATGCATTCGCACACGCATACTCGTACAAACAGACGGCAGGATGTCGTGCAATGTGCATTTGCACCCAACACACTCCCCCTCAGCCTGCCGGCTGCATCCCCGTCATTCCATGCTAGTTCATGCTCATTCCACTCATGCGCACACAACGCCAATGAGGCTCATCCGCAAGCCTCTTGGTGAGAAAGTCTGCTGGCTGCTGGTGAGTCTTGATGTAGATTGGATTCACCGTCCCCCTCTTCACCTCCTTACGCAGCCAGTGCCACTTGATACGCATGTGCTTGTTCAGGCCATGAAGCACAGCGTTCCTGGCCATCCCAAGAGCCCCCTTGCTATCACAAAACAGCGGCGTAGCAACTTTCTGCTCCTGGCCAATCTCCTCTAACAGCCTCCTCAGCCAAATCACCTCCTTCACCCCATGGAACATCGCCATGTACTCTGATTCTACGGAAGAGAGTGCCGTCTCCGTCTGCTTCTTGGACCTCCAACTAACAGGTCCTCCCCCAACTACGCAGATGTATCCTCCCACAGATGAGGAGTCCTCCTTCTCAGAAGCCCACGTAGCATCGGTAAAGCAAGTGAGAAATAGCTTGCCTTCTCCAAGCCTCTCCCCCTTCTCTTTCAGCACCTCCACCCCTTTCTGCTTCACCTGTGCAGATGCGGAGTATTGAACTCCAATGCTTGGGTGAGAGTTCAGGTACTTCACCACACGCTCAGCTGCATCCACCTGCTCCTCTGATGGATTCTGCACCACCCTAGCCAGCTGCCCAACCGAGAAAGAGATGTCGGGCCTCGTGTGAACTGCTGCGTACAAGAGGCTGCCCACCAAGGACTGAAATTGCTGCTGCTCTTCAGCTTCAACCCCTTCATCCTCTGCAGCCTTCACAAGCTTGAATTCTGCTGGCAGGGGAGTTGCAACCTTGCGCTCATTCTCAATCCCATACTTCTCCCCCAGCTCCTTGATGAACTTCTCCTGGTGCAGCTTCAACCACCTGTGATCTGGATCCCTCTCCACGTGCATCCCGAGGTAGTACTTTACCTCCCCAAGGTTCTTGCACTTGAAGTTTTCCATCAGTTGCTGCTGCACTTTCTGGATCTCCTTCATGCTGCTGCTGAAGAGAAGAATGTCGTCCACATAGACCAGAAACAGCACCAGCTTCTCCCCCTCGCCCTTGAGAAAGAGGCTCTCATCACAGCTGCTGGTCCTGAATCCCATCTCCTCTAAAACAGCTGCCAACTTCTGGTACCAGCAGCGTGGCGCCTGCTTCAAGCCGTAGATGGACTTGTTGAGCTTGCACACCCTGCCCGTACCATCCTCATATCCAGGCGGCTGCGTCATGTACACATCCTCCTCTAAAATCCCATTCAGGAATGCCGTTGAAATATCCATCTGAATGATGAATTTCCCACTAACAGCTGCATCTGCCAACAAGACACGGAGGGTAGGGGGTTTGGCAGTGGGAGCAAAGATCTCGTTGAAGTCCTGCTTCTCCTTCTGCATAAACCCCTTCGCCACCAGCCTACTCTTGTAGATGGTGACCTGCCCCTTGTCATCGGTCTTGATCCTCAGCACCCACTTGCATTGTATCGCTTTCTTCCCATCAGGCAGCACCACCAGATCCCATGTCCTATTCTCCAGCAGACTCTGGTACTCAGCATCCCTAGAAGCCAGCCACTTGTCCCTATCTGGTCCAGCTAATGCCTCCTCCATGCTAGCTGGTTCCTCTGGTGCAGGGGCAAGAAAACAGTACGCAGGCTCATCCTCCTCATCCGGGTCATAGCCATGAGGTAGAATCAGCAATGCCTCTTCGGTCCCTAGCTGCTGCTCTGCTGCATCAGTTCCTGCAGTCAGCTTCTTAGTAGCCATACGGGTACGTCCTGGCCTGGAGACGGGTGTCTCCCATCCCTTCATAACGACACCCTTCGGCTTCTTAGTTTTTTCCTGCTGCTTCTCTCCTCCCTCGGGTCCAGCAGCTCCACTAGTGCTGCCGCCAGTTTCCACACCATTTTCTCCACCAGCAGGTGCCTCCTGTACCTTCTCTCCATCACCATTCCCCGCAGCTGCCTCCTCTCCCTCCTCCCACACACTAGGAGTCAGGTCCAGCTGCATGGTGATCTGCTCCATCTGCTGGGACACCCGGGCCTCCGGCTGTTTCTCCCAGCTCCCATACATCATGCCCTCAATGAATTTCACATCCCTGCTGTCAAACAACACACCCTTGGATGGTTCCCACAGCAGCCATCCCTTGCTCTCAGCAGCCAGCCCCAAATGCACACACCAGATTGCACTCGCCCCCAACTTACTGCGGTAGGTCTTGGGGACGTGGGCGACTGCCATGCAACCGAACACCCTCAGCATGTCCACCGGCGGCTTCCTCCCAAGCCACCTCTCCAAAGGCACCCACGAGTCATCCCCAACCTTGGTGAGCACCCTGTTCCTAGCGACAGTGGCGTGCCGGACAGCATGAGGCCACATAGAATTGCTCAGCCCAGATTCTATGAGCAGCGCCCTAGCTGTCTCCAGAATGGTCCGGTTTGCCCGTTCTGCTACACCATTGGACTGTGGGGTATAAGCCGTGGTCAGCTCTCTCTGGATGCCCTGCTTCTTGAGCCAGGCCATCATTTCAGCTCCAAGGAACTCACCACCCCGGTCTGTCCTAATCCGCTTCACTACACACTCCGCCTGCTTCTCCACGAATGGCAGCCAATCGTCCCGTATCGTGGAGGCGGCGTGGTCCTTCTGCTTCAGCGGATACGCCCACATCAGCCTGCTCCAGTCATCCACAATTGTAAGAAAATACCGCTCCCCCTTGTGCCCTTGCACCGGCAGCGGCCCCACCAAGTCCATGTGGACCAGCTCCAAAGGCTTCTTGCTCCTGCCAGCCACACTATGGAAAGGGAAACGGGTGAACTTTGAAAGCAAACAGATTTCACAGTTGTCATCGGGTGGCTGTCCGTTCAGCTTCAGACCCTTAACGGCTCCATCCTTCTCCAGCTGCTTCAACAAAGGCATTGCCACATGCCCTAAGCGCTGGTGTGCCGTTGCCCAATCTGTCTCCCCAGATCTGGCCGACACTTTCACACCAACCC